ACAACGATAATAGCAATAATGATAATAATGATAATAATGATAATAATAATAATAATAATAATTAATAATAATAATTAATAATAATAATAATAATAGTAATAATAATAATAAATAATAATAATAATAATAAATAATAATAATAATAAATAATAATAACAATAATAATAATAATAATGAAATATTATTTTTTATTCTATTTTATTTAAAATTATTTTTTACAGAATGGAATGATGAACGTGTAAATTCATCATCAATGTTAAAATTAATTTATCATGGACGTTTTTTACATGGTAGTGTTACACTTGGTGCATTATCATTACCAGTTGGAAAGACAGCTGTTATGCATCTTGTCACCCGTGAAAATTTACCTGAATCTAGTACTAATGGTTTCTCCTTTAACTTTTTTTTTTTCTTCTCTCTCTCTTTCCTTTTTTTTTTAACAAAAATAATTTGTTTATCACTAAGGATTTGATAATATGATATATGTTAGATAAATAAATAAAAAATTAGCAATTTAACAGTATTGATTATATCAGCATATCAGCAGTTAGCAATAAGTATATCGATGTATTAGCAATTAGCAGTATGTGACTGTATTAGCATATGATCAATTAGCAGTATATCAGTATAACGATAATTAAGCAACGGTAATTAACATTATATCAGTATATAGCAATTTAGCAGGAAATAATTATCATAGATTATTGAATTTGTAAATAGTACTGCTCAATTTTTTATAGGCAAATTTATGAATTATAAAATGTTTAAATCATCAATTCTTTTTTTTCCATTTTGTAATTAGTAGTAATAACATGATAATACTGATAACATTATAATAATTTTAATAGGTCTTTCCTAATTATCAAATTAGCAACAAAAAAAAAAAAAAAAACGATAAAATAAATTACGAATTTACCTTATTTTTTTTTTTCATCCCTTTAATTAGGTTAATTATGACGATATGCAGATTCTTTTTCTTTTTTTTTTCTACTCCATGGATTATGAGAAATAATTTAGAATGATACATTAGAGTGTAAGTATAACACATTGAAAAATTGACAGGATGAAATTAGCACAGATCAGGAATGAGATTAAGCTCAAAAAAAGCTTAATAAATCCCTGATATAGTCTTCATCTTTGATCTCTCAAATCTTCGATCTTTGATCCTTTTTTCATAAAATATTCGATTTTTCTATTTTTTAAATAGATAAAGTTGGAGAATTTAAAAAGCATAAAGGTAATTGATGTGATCAAATTATTGATTTAATCAAAGAGCTTGTGTTAGAGTAGTAGTAATAGTTAGATTTAATGATTAGTATGAATAAAATGCAATTATCGAAAATTTACCAGAAATTAGTAAGTAGAAAATAGTTCGCAGACTTAAATTATTTGAGTAAAAAAAGAAAAATAAACAAATCTCGTCATTTGCCTCTTGTATTATTTAATTAAATTTATTCATACCTGCTTTTTGATCTCAAAATATTTCCGTTTTTTTTTTCCTAGCAACACAAAAAAAACGGATACGTTCCTTTTTTATTAAAATATAGTTTGATATCGGAAATTTTCCGAAAAAAATTCGTTCCTTTTTTATTAAAATATAGTTTGATATCGGAAATTTTCCGAAAAAAAGTTCGTTCCTTTTTATTAAAATATAGTTTGATATCGGAAATTTTCCGGAAA